TAAGAGAGGCCTTTCTTTCATGAAATTGAAATTTTCACTTCCAAAAAACCAAAACTCCATGTCGATTTCAAAAGTATTATTGCTGGCTTCTTGACTTTTCTTGCAGATGGAGAAAGTGCTTTTCACACCCCATCATTTATCTGTCCTTTCCCTAGTTACTGGGAGCATCCCTGGACTCCCATCCCTTTGGCTGATTTTTTTTCCTTTCATTTTCTTTCTCTCTTCTTTCCTTCTCTTCCTCAGCACTCTGTAGGTTCCCGGAATTTGCTCTTCCCAACCCCTGAACCATCATTGCTGTTTGGATTCAGACACGGAAACCTCTTGTTTTGCAGTCTTGGTTTGGGTCTGGGTACATCAGGGTGTCAGGGTACAGGAGTGTGGCCTCCAGAAGGAAGTTGGACTGGAAAGGACAGGTAGTCCTCCAAAGGGTGCCTAGACTGTCTCCTAAGGAAAGGAGAGGCTGTCCTTTGTTTGGGGGTCCAGGCACACACACACACACACACACACACACACACACACACACACACACACTAAAATAGCTGTTGTCTTTACAAGGATGGCCTGCTTACAGGAAGGCAACAGAGTCTGCTGGCAACAGCAAGGCACACGGGAAACACTGCCCAAGGACCTTCTGCTTACCTCCAAGGTTATAGCCCCCAGCTAAGAGAAGGACAGTTGACAATTGTTCTCCCTTCCAGATTCATGAGGAAGGGCCTGCTGCTGCTCTGCCAGGCTCCGAGAATCCTGCACATACTCCATGGTCCCGCTGATTCTCTGATCAGTTTAACACCCCAAGGACCTCTGACCCTTTCCTTCCTCAGTTCCTCGGGGACTGCCTCTCACACTTTGCCTAACTTCTGTAGATTTTCTCCTGGCCCTGCAACTGTTGCTCCCCAAGCCAGACCTTCAGCTGAGTTGTTTCATCACAATGTAGCCATGAAAAGGAACAAGGCAGGATTTGCCACAGAGCAATATTGGCCATTTTCTTTTTAATATTTAAAGCATAATCAGAATAGCAGCAAAAACCCCAAATACAAACTCACTTGCAGCTCTTATGACCTCATCTTGACTTTAAAGAGTGACATTGCTTCCTCAAGGTGGAGAAGGAATGTTCATTGGGTACCTTATGTCACTAGGCGCTAAGCTAGCATCCTTGGCTGGTTGGACCAAAGCCTGTTATTCACAGAACGTAAATTATTGAACACCGGCCTAAGAGGCCTGTCTGTGATGGCACCTGCCTCCTGCACTGCTCTCTCTAACTGTGTCTCTCGGGTCAGCGGTGAGATCACTCCACTGGAGTTGCCCATTTAGGGTATGGGGTCCCAGGTGCTGGATGGTGCCTCCCATTGTCAGGGGGGTAGATCATTGGGGCGGATTTGTTTTGGCACCTCCAGGCACTCTTCCAGGAGTCCCTTTGCAACATTGAACAGAGAGGCCACAGAGCACAGGGTTTCAGCTGCTGAGGAAAGGGGCATGAGTGAGCAGTGACCTTTTTTCCTTTGCCAACTTAGGGTTGAGCCTGCGGACAGGGCGGTTGTGGGGACTGTGAGCACTGGTCAATCATCAAAGTCTGTTGATGTCCTACCTCTGCTCTTCCTCTCATTTCCTGTCTTCTACTGCTTTCCTGGAGGCCTAAAGCAGCTGTTCTGAGCCCTTTCTGGAGAGTCCTCCTGGAGGTGGGGCTCTCCTGAGGAAGTGCCTAGCTAGGGACCTGGAGAAGGGACTTATCTCTGTCACCTCCGGGTTCCCGAAGGCCATTTGCCTTCTGTTTTGTCATATCTTTTCTCCATCCAGGCTTCTCGGTTAATGATTTTGCGCCTTGCATTTTAGTCTGATTTGAGGGACAGTAAGAAAGCTCACACAGGGTGAGTAGCCAGGGCAGATTTGGAGGAGGGAGGCGTTGCACTGAGTGGTGGTGGTGAGGGGAAGTAGCGCCAGCCTTTGAGCCTCAGTCACTTCTCCCAGGGGCTGGCTGTTGTGTTTGGAGCTGCGTGTGGTGCTTGCCAGAGGAGTGCTGTGACAGGAGGCTATTTTAATGAACTTGCAGTTTCACGAGCCGAGCTGCATTGCGTTGGCATCTCTCGTCACCACTAATGGAGTGTGCGTGGCTGGGTGTGGGCCGAGGGAGGCTGTAGCTTACTGGGGGCTGAGGAGATGGCGAGGAGGTGCAGGCTTCAGTCCCCTTGTTTGGGAATGCTCCCGAGTCCTTCAGGCAGCCCCATCCGAGGGACCAAGGGGTGGGTATACCCAGCCAGCCAACGTTCTGGGTCTTGACAGGGCTATGCTGCTGGCATGGACACTTTCTGAGCTCTTTCTCCTATTCATAGTTCTGTAGGCTGGTGCAAAAAGTGGAGGAGAAAAATGTCCACTCGCCCCACTGGGCTCCATTAAAAAAAATCTAAAAAAAAAAATCTAGAACCAGAGAGTGTGCTGGCTGAAAGACCAAAGCAGAGCACAGAGAGGAGAGAGAAGGCGCAGCTGCCTCCCCAAGGCCTTCTGGGGCTCCCGCCCAGCCACCAGCCCGCCAGGAGTCCGGCCTTTATTTATTTATTTTCTGGCTTAAAAAAAAAAAGTCCGAGTCTTCCTCAATCCTGGTGTTCCCACCCCCAAGTTTGCTGGGTGGCTGCTGCCAAGCGGGGGCCTGGGATGAAAAATTCATAACTGCTGGACTTTGCTTTTGCTTGTTCATTAGACATGAACTTGTCGATTGGGCAAATTGTTTTTGGTCTCCAACTGCCGGGGGGCTCTCCCCACCCTTTCAGCTAGCCCAGCTCCCTCCTCCCCTTGGACTCAGTCATTGGCTGCGTGAGGATGCCTCTTTGCCAAATAGGTGGATCCCCCCACTCTCTCTCTTTCTCTCGCTCTCTTCCTCGCTCGCTCATGCTCTCTCCCTCCCTCCCTCCCTCCCTCCCTCCCTCCCTCTCTCTCTCTCTCTCTCTCTCTCTCTCTCTCTCTCTCTCTCTCTCTCCCTCCCTCCCTCTCCCTCTCTCTCTCCTTCTCTCCTTTCCTCTGGCTGTCTCCCTCCCCCTCTTTTACTGACTTGGCACACGCAAATGGATGGGGATTGAGCATGAACGGGAAGGGGGAGTTTGAGAGAAAAAAGGAGCTACAACCCCCCCCACCCTAGCGGCGCTGGTGCACACACACCCTCTCCCGAGCGCGCGCACACACTCACATGCGCACCACCGCACACCCCATCCCATCCCTGTCTTCCTGAGATCCTCTCTCTCTCCCTCCCCCTCTTCCTTCCCTCCCTCCCTGGCTCCCTCTCTCCCTTTTGCTGCGTCTGCCAGCAACGGTCTGCAGCCGGTCAGAACTCGTCCTCTTCCCCGAGAATCTGCGAGCTCCCCCTCTTCCTCTGGTCGGGTGGAGGGAGCAGCTCGAAGTTTACACCCTTGTGCCGCTGCCAAAGCCGAAAGCCTTTTCTTCAGCTGCTGCTTTTTCCCTCCTGGTTTTTGTTTTTGTTTTTCGGGAGTGGGGGGTGGGGTAGGGTACCGTTGTTGTGGGTGAATGTGGGGTGGTGGTGGTAGGAGGTTGGTTTTGATCTTTAAATTTTGCAATTTTTTTTTGCTCTTTTATTTTAAACTGCAAGAGGATGCACAGGGGGAGAAATTGAAACAATTTGTTGGCTTTTGTTTACCTGGTGTGTGTAAGAAGCCACCTCGCTCCCTCTGCTCGCCATCCCTGACCTTTCTTTCTTTTTACTCCTTAAAAAAATTAATTTCCCTCTCTGTGCAATGGAGCGTGGGGGGTGGAGGGGGAAGGGTTTAAGAATCCACTCAAGCCCGGCCCCTATTCCCCAGAACACCAATAATAACCCCCTTTAAAACATTTACCTTCCTCTCCTGCTCCTCCTCCTCCCCTCGTCCCACCACCCCCAACTCATAACTCTGTTGAGTCCAGAGTCTCAGAATCAGGCGTTGCCTTTGCCGGGTGCTTCAGATCAATGGTAATTATTTGATTTTTTTCCAGCTTTATTTTTGTAAAAAGAAATCAATTATTATTTAAACTTCAAACAAGCAAACAAGCAAAAACCAAAAACCAAAACAAAACAAAAGGAAAAATAACTGAGAGCCCAGCCCTCTGTCACCTGATTGAGGGTGAAGGGTTTGTGGGAGATTGGGGAAGGGGCCGCAAGCCGGCCCATGTAGCTTTTAACCCTAATGTGGCTGAGAATACCACCTTATTTGGGCTAACAAGAAGTGTTTTGTTCATTATTACTGTGATTAACATTAGTATTGGTGCCGATAACAAAGCTGAAACCACATATTTAGGATTTAGGTCTGCTTTTAAAAAATGCTGGGATGGATGTTCCAACTGGATCTGGAGAAAAGAAAATGAGGCAGCCTGGTGAGGGGCCCCGAAGCTGCTTCCTCCATCGCAGACGGCATTTATTTTCTGCCTGCTCAGGGGGCAGCCAAACATTGGCCAGTCCGGACAGGAGGACAGAAGGCAGCGAGGCCGCTCTTGCTTGCCCTTCCGTCTGCACCCTCAGGCAGCGGGACACTGTGCTGGGACCAGCTGACCCTAGTTCCCAGCTGCCGTAGAACATGGAGATGTCATGGGTGCGACAGAACCTGGGGGTGGGGGGGTAACCAGCAAGCCCGTGGTGTGTGTAGCAACATTGTTTGTGTGCACGTGTGTGTGTGTGTGTGTGTGTGTGAGAGAGAGAGAGAGAGAGAGAGAGAGAGAGAGAGAGAGAGAGAGAGAGAGAGAGAGAGAGAGAGAGAATAGGTGTGTGGACAGACTCCCCGCGCCTCTGTTTGGTTGCCGAGGCTGAGATGGGAGCGAGTGGCTGGCGAAGCTGGTGGTGGCTTCAAACCACACTTCAGTAGAACAATCTCAAGAGAAAATTGCTGGGGGAGGGAGGAGGAGAAGGCGGTTTTCCTAGGGCCCCTTCTAACGCTGCGTTTCTCCTTCTCTCTTTCCCCCTCATCCCGTCTTCCCCTCCTCCCGTCCTCCCTCGCCCGCCCCGCATGCTCCCGGCTTGCCGCCTGCAGGATGAGTTCCACCCGTTCATCGAGGCGCTGCTGCCTCACGTCCGAGCCTTCTCCTACACCTGGTTCAACCTGCAGGCGCGGAAGCGCAAGTACTTCAAGAAGCACGAGAAGCGGATGTCAAAGGATGAGGAGCGCGCGGTGAAGGACGAGCTGCTGGGCGAGAAGCCTGAGATCAAGCAGAAGTGGGCATCCCGGCTGCTGGCCAAGCTGCGCAAAGACATCCGGCCTGAGTTCCGAGAGGACTTCGTGCTGACCATCACCGGCAAGAAGCCCCCCTGCTGCGTGCTCTCCAACCCCGACCAGAAGGGCAAGATCCGGCGGATTGACTGCCTGCGCCAGGCTGACAAGGTGTGGCGGCTGGACCTGGTCATGGTGATTTTGTTTAAGGGGATCCCCTTGGAAAGTACTGACGGGGAGCGGCTCTACAAGTCGCCCCAGTGCTCGAACCCCGGCCTGTGCGTCCAGCCACATCACATTGGAGTCACAATCAAAGAACTGGACCTTTATCTGGCTTACTTTGTCCACACTCCGGGTAGGTTGTTCTCAACACCCCCTCCCCAGTTTTATCTCACTTGCTGGCATTTGTTCTGTGTATTGTCCCTCCTGTTTCTGAGCAGTGCTGCTCGTGGGCCTCACTGGTAGCTTGTCCTGCGGGCCTCACTTCTCCATCCCCTTCCTGTCTGCCCCTAACCCTTTGCTCTCTCCCCTCTCTTCTCTTACTATGACACCCAATTTGGGCATCTCTGTCTTTGCTATAGTAAAGATGCTGTCAGTTTTAGGACAGGGCCAAGATGTCTCATAATTACCCATGACGGTAAGAGTTTGAGACAAGTGATGAGAACATCCCCACTAACCACGGCTGATAGAGAAAACGAGACAGGAGAAGGTGCAGGCTCCTGTAGCTCCACTTCATCCCAGGGGAAGCTGGGTTTGGTAGGAGCGGGGTGGGGATGAGGGTTGCAGCCATCCAGGAGAAAGGGATGTGTGGAATCTGGCATAGCATATGGGACTGAGTGACCCCGGGGAGAGGAGACTCAGAAGTGGGGTGATTCTGGGGGTAGGAGCTGTTGTAGCTGGTGTTTGTTTTGTACAGAGAGAATGCGGTGAGATCCTTTGAGCTCCCTGTTGCAGGATGGATAGATACACTGGGTGGTTGTGCTGTGGCCCTGGGCCCCTCTGGAGTAGAGGGGCTTTGTGGGGAGCAGGCCTGCCAGGACACAGCTTGCTGTAGAAGAAGTCTTAAACAGAACCTGCAGGAGCCTTTCCCCTTTTGTGCCCTGAGTGATTCCTAGTCGCCTCTGCTGGTGTAGTCGCACCCTGTGTCTGGCCAGGGCTGGCCTAGTGCTCAGGCCTTGCCTGCCCCCCACCCCATTTCTCTTTTTCTTTTCATAATTTCTTTCCACTTTTGTTTTCTTACAAATTGAAACAGAGATGGCTGGTTAATTTTTAGCCTCCACTCAGCTACGCCCAATTTACCGCCGCCTTTGAAACCTAAACGGGCCGGTACTCTGTGATTAAGCAAGGCAGAAGTGTGTTTACATTGTGCCCAACCAACTTGTAATGAGAGGCTACCAAACCTTTGTGTGTGTGTGTGTGTGTGTGTGTGTGTGTGTGTTTCCTCTCCACTGTTTCAGCATTTTCCCCCTCATTTCTCTCATTCCTCTCCTTTGTGGGGATGTGAGAGAGTGTGGTTTTACTTAAGCTCTGGAAAACTGAAAACCTGTCCTTCCCGAGACAAGTGCCTGGGTGTCTTCCTTTGTATTCATTCATGAAAAGGAGAGGCCGTTCACGCCACTGTGGTCACCCCCTTGCCTGTTGGGAAAGTTGGGAGGAAGTGGTATGAGTGGAGCCAGGCACACAGCTGGGAGACGCTTCCAGGAGGCGGCTTTCTTAGGGAGAACAAGTGTTGAGTATGTGTTGGAGAGGAGAGAAGTGAGTTCAAGCCTCCCTTCTTGCTCCCTCCCTCCCCATCTGGTTGGAGGCAGAGGGCACTGCCATGAACCCTCCTGCTCTAGGCTTGCATGTGGCCTTAAGTGACCCCTAGCCTGGAAAGGCCAGTTTCACCTCCTTCCCTCTCTCCCTGCAGCCTGGATTTTCTCTTATCTTTTTGGGGGGGGGGTAGGGAAGAAAGTTAAGGAGAAAAAGTTATCCCAAATTCCCTGTCTGTACAGCAAGCCAGGTTCCAAAGGGTGAGGTTGTGTCCGTGTTGTGGGTGCTGGGGGCTACTTGGAGCAGGAGACAGCTACCAGATCTGTCCCACAGCACCTTCTCTCGGGAGTCTGAGCCTCCCACTCCTAGCGCTTGGAACCCAAGTATATCTTAGAGGAAATCAACATCTATCTTCCTCCTAGACTGCTTCCATCTTCCCCTCTTCCTCCTCTTCCTCTCTTCTGCTGTTTAGACTCTGGTACTTGCATTGTTTCCCTGGACCTTTTTTTTTTTTTTTTTTAATTTTAAGCCATTAGGTATTTGACAGGGACTTACTATGTGACTCTGACTGGCCTAGAACTTGGTATATACACCAGGCTGGCCTTGAATTCATTAGAGATCTGCCCATCTTTGCATCTGAGTGCTGGAATTAAAGACTGGACCAACCAGCCCTAGGCCACATTCTTGACTTCTGCCAGTGTGGGGCTGATGGGATTGCTCACTTAGGGAAGGAAACCATTTCCCAGCCAGCCTCCTGGCTTCTGCACTGCTCTGGCAGGTGGAAGGGGCAAGGGAAGGAACAGGGCTTCCTATCCCCAGCTAATGAGATCATTCACCCAGGAATATAAGTGAATTCATAGTACACTGCATGTTGCCAAGGCTACTTCTGGCCAGGCCGAGGCTGAGTCTCTTAGCAGATACCAGATACGTAACTGAGAACATATTCTTTGCAATTTAGTCACAGACCTTAGACAGTAGCTATGAATGTTCAGGATTTCTTGCTGGAATGGCTAGAATTTCAGGGTATCTTTCTGGAGGAAATACCATTGGGTGTTGGTAAGGCCAGGGTCACTCATAGGGTCTCATTGTTTGTTCCTTCCTAAGCTATTCTGGGGTGATTGGGATGTCCTGTGACTGATGTTGGTTCTGTGACATTACCTTCTCCATTGCCTTCCCTCCTAGCATGCCCAGTGAGCCACAGTATATGAAACCTGGGGTTGGGAGCTGGAGAGATGGCCCAGTGATTAAGAATACTTGTTCTTCCAGAGAACCTGGGTTCTGTTCCCAGCACCCACAACACATGACAACCATCTATAACTGCAGTTCCAGAGAACCCACACTCCCTCTTCTGACGTCTGCAGACACAGCCATGTAGGCAACACGCTCATACACATAAAAATAAACAAATCTTTAAAAATCAAAGCTGGATGGAAGAGCTGGGTGGGGCTGAGCTGGCGGTGCCAGTTTTTATGACTGCGCTTGAGACGGCAGGGGGTGTGAGGGTATGACTTTGCATCCAGGTACCACTGCCACCCAGGCCTTCACAGGCCCTTGTGCCCCAGAAGAGTCAAGAGATGACACAGAGAGAAGGAATGGAGGATGTGTATGGGTGACTTGTAGAATTTGGGTCTGAAGGGCTGCCACACAGTCACCTAACTGTCAGTATGTGTCTGTCATCGTTCAGCAGGGAAAGCTGAGGCTGGGCTGAAGCAGAAGTCCAGAGTGGGTGTCCCAGGGCAGATGATGTGGCAGGGACAGCAGGAGCGGGGGGGGGGGGGTAGGAGCACTTTGTGGTGTGGAGAGGTACAGCCAAGTAGGACTGTGAGCCTTGCCGACAGTCTCCAAATCCCACAAGCGCTCTTGAAGTGAGAAGGTAACATGGATCAACCCTCAAACCTCGGTTTCAGTCTAGCGAAGAGAACAGAACTCAGAACTGTAAAAATTCTTTACCTGTTGGTAGACACCCCTGCCTCCTGCACACATCACAGGACCCACGGTCTTTGACTTAGGCTAGGCTCGAATCATGCGTGTCCCCATTGCCCACCAACACTGGGCATCACAGCCTGTCCTTGTAAACATGCTGTTGGCCAAATGCTACTGTCACATCTGAGATTTTCCCCCCCTGAGACAGGGCCTCGCTGTGTATCTCCGATTGTCCTGGAAGTCATTACAGAACTCACAGAGACCCACCTGCTTCTGCCTCCCCAGTGCTGGGATCACAGTCGTGCTCGACTGCGTGCAGCTCAGCTGTCTTCTGTACCATGACATCTCTGGCTGGTATCCCCATCCCCCTAATTGTCAACTTGCTTTTGCTTACAGTTCGTCTACACCAGAACCCAGATGGGACAGTCCCGACACCACCGTGGCTGACCCATCTCTGTCTAGCAGGGGCGGTCATTTCATGTCATCACTGTCCTTTACAGCTTTCCTGTCAGTTCTTGTTGAGGGAACCGTTCCTCCTGTGTGGTTTCCCGTGAGACCTCTGCAGGCCGTTCACTGAGGTTCGGTGTGCCACCAGGCCCTGGGGCAGGCAGGCTCAGCCTTATTTGTCATAGGAGATTAGCTAGTAAGTCAGGCTTTGCCTACAGAACCTTCTCAAGCATAAGATGTTCTTCTGGTCGACTCTGCTCCTTCCAGGAGTTGGGCATAGCAGTCCGTGCTGGCTTTCAGGCCTGAGCAAAGGGACCTACTGTGTCCTTCACTGGTGGTGACTGTCGCTTGCCTAATGCCAGCGAAGACCCCCTAGACCTTTTCTGGGCTCCCACCCCTTCTGGCGGGAAAGACTGCCAGAGCATGACTCCCTTTCGAGGTCCACCCTGAACATGGACCACGCGTCACCCACTTGCCGGTGACTTTGAGGCAGTGCCGTCAGGGTTGGCAGAGACCACGGGGTCTAGTAACACAATTAGTGACATTAGCAAGATCTTTGGGTTATTTTGTGATGCACTGTCAGTCCCCTTGAGACTTTCCTATAAGCAGCGCCACCATTGTTTAGGTGATTCTAAGTCTTATTCTTTCCTCTGGCTCAAGGTATACGATCACAGGCTAGAACCAACTTATACATAGGCTTACACATGAATGGCAGCTGCCGAAGTGTCCACTATTAAGATTTACTGAGCCCAGCATGGCTCCCTATCTCCTTCATCTGTTGTCCTGGGGTCGTCTAGGTGGAAGCAGGTTGTTCTGTGCTGTGGCAGTTCCCCTCTGAATAAAGCCTCTGAACTCCCCATCCTCCCTCTCTCCAGAGTGTCCTCCTAGTGTCTCCAGCCCTGCCAGAGTCCTAGTGCCCTTGCCATCTTCAGGGCAGTCCCGCTACATAATAGGAAGGTCCTAGAACAAAACAGCGGTGCATGGCTCCAGTCCACAGTTATCAGGAACGGTAACATTGGAACAGCAGCAGAGGCGTTGAACCAAGTGCAGGGCCTGCTGCACCATGCCCTTGGGAAGCATCCCATGTGCTCCAGGTTGTCTGCTGTTGAGCGGTGGGCGCCCTGGCTGTGGACAGACTGCTCCGACCCCTCCTCAGGTGTGGGCCAGGCAGGAGCCTCACTCCTTGTGGCTCACAGGAGTCTTAGTAGAGTTCCCTGTGCTGGCCACATGAGA